AAAAGATTCGAGAAATGGAGACAATGTGTGAAGAAGGAAGTAAATTGCCAGGCTGTTTGGTCATTGATGATCCATCAGCTTGGGTAGTTGAATTGACAACATCAGAGTTACAAGGCAGTGAGGGTGTTATAGCAAATATTTTGGCGTGCTTGAAGGGAGGAGAGGTGACAAAGCTTGGAGTTTGGGGGATGGGGGGAGTCGGGAAAACAACCATCATGATGCATGTCCACAATGAACTATTGAAGGAAGGTAAATTCAAGAAAGTAATTTGGGTAACCGTTTCACAAAACTTTGATATCTACAACCTGCAAGAACAAATTGCTTGCAGCTTGTGCAGCTTGGAGGAGAAACAACGGCTAAAGGATCAAAATACAACTGTTCGTGCAGGAGTGTTATTAAAGATGCTAAAAGTAGACAAACACAAGCCTTACTTGCTGATTTTCGACGATGTGTGGAAGAGTTTTGACCTTAATGAAGTTGGAATTCCTGGGCCAGATGTAGCTACTGATGGTGGCAAGTTAGTATTGACTACACGGTCACAAGAGGTTGCTCGTTCAATGGGTTGTAGAAGAATCAAAGTGGAGACTCTTTCACAAGAGGAAGCTTTAAAATTGTTTTTAAATAAAATTGGAGATACTGGTTTACTAGATCATGGGGGAGGCATTAAAAATGATTTAGAATCAACTTTGAAGGGGATTGTGGATGAATGTGATGGTCTTCCATTGGCAATTGTTACAGTTGCTGGCAGCTTAAAAGAAATATCTGAGCCACAGTTATGGGGTGCTGCACTGAATCAATTGAGAGATTGCAAAAGAAACGTGGCAGGTGCAGATGATGATAATGCATTCAAGATATTAAAATTCAGTTATGATCGTTTGACGAACCCAAAGATCCAATATTGTTTCTTATACTGTGCACTGTATCCTGAGGATGATAAGATTCTGAAGGAGGAAATAATTGAAAACTGGATTGATGAGGGGTTTATAGAGGATATGGAAACTCGGCATGCAATGAAGGATGAGGGTTATAGTATTTTGAGGAAGCTTGTAGACAACAGTTTGTTGGAATATAGAGGAGATTGTGTGAGGATGCATGATCTTATTAGAGATATGGCCTTGCACATTACAAAAACGAGTCCTCGGTTCTTGGTAGAAGCTGGCAAGGGATTGAAAGAGCTACCAGAGAAGGTAAATTGTGCAGAAGGTGTTCAAAAGGTTTCATTAATGTGTAACTATATTGAAGAAATTCCATCGAGCATGGCATCTTCAACATGCAAAGGACTCACAACCTTGTTGTTGGCCCATAATGGTTTGTCAACAATTTCAGAATCTATCTTTGAGCATATGCCAGAGCTAAAAATTCTTGATCTGTCCTTCAATGAAAAGCTAAGCAGCCTACCAAATTCTGTCTCTAGCTTGGTGAAGCTTACTACATTGTTGTTGGAATCAACAGGCCTAAAAAGTGTACCATCTTTATCAGGCCTTGGATCCTTGAAAAAGTTAAACCTTAGGGAGACAAATATCAAAGAAGTCCCTGAAGGCCTGGGAATGTTGAAGAATTTGAAATGCCTTTTTCTTAGTGGACCTAACATAGTTGAAATAGCAGATGGAGTATTATCAAATCTCTCCAAACTTCAGGAGTTAATTGTAAATCGGAGCAGCATAATATTGAAGGGAGACGACGTTGGGAGATTGAACAAGTTGGAAGTTTTTTATGGCCGATTTCCCACCGTGGATGACGTGAGAATCTTTCTTAAATCTCAGCCTAATAAGCTGAATAGCTATGTTATTATTGTTGGAAGCAATTTGGATTCCTTTGAGGAGGAAGAGATTTATGAAAGTCCAGAAGGGTTATCAAGATATGAGAAAATAATGCTGTTCCGGGAGACTAGTATTGTTGGAGAGAATACATTATGTCCCTCCGTCCAATTCTTATTTATTTGTTATTGCCACAACATAAGAAGCTTAAATGATTTTTCTGATATTAAAGATGTAACAGATTTGAGGAGATGTGTGATTTGGGGTTGTGAAGGCATGGAGTGGATTCTTTCCTCGTGGATAAATAGCAGTCTCGTCCAAACCCTTGAGTATCTAGAACTTTGGGGTTTGCACAAATTGGATGGGCTATTTGAAGCAAACGTCATGGCGACGTCATCACCTCCACCTGGGATTTTTTCATCTCTTAAAGAAGTTTCGATTGTGGAATGTAAAAAAATAAAGAAGTTGTTTCCATCTTGGAAGTTGGTGGAATGTCTCAAAAAGCTTGAAGATCTTTATGTCGACGACTGTGAAGAAATGGAAGAAATAATAGCATCAGATCCAGAAGAAGAAGGAGAAGAAGGAGGGGACATCATCAAGAAGCTCATTCTTCCAAAATTAAAAAAGCTGACATTGTGGCACTTGCCTGCATTGAAGCGCATCTGTAGCAGGAGGGCAGTAATGGTATGTCATTCTCTTGAAGAGATTGGAATTCGTGGTTGCAAGGGCCTAAGGAGGATGCTTCTTTCTCTTCCCCTGGTTGAATACGCCCAAAGTCTAGAAAGGATTAAGGTCTCTTTTTGTGAAGAAATAGAAGAAATAATAGCATCAGATCCAGAAGAAGAAGAAGAAGGAGGGGACATCATCAAGAAGCTTATTCTTCCAAAATTAAAAGAACTAGAATTACATTTCTTGCCTGCATTGAAGAGCATCTGTAGCAGGAGGGCAGTAATGGTATGTGATTCTCTTGAATCTAT